ACTAATGGTGAACCCAACCCACAGATCCATCCGCTCCATTAACACCCTCCCTGAACCCGCGGCAGATTGACCTTACCCATCCCATGCTCACTGGCCGTCATGCACATTACTTTGCTAGACTCAGGCTTGCTTCTGCTTGAATTGATAAGCCGACGTTCATGGCAGGGGCCTCCATGATGGTGGGTTCTGATTGAGGTCCAACTCCCAGACTGACAGACTGATAAAAACACTGGTCACTCATGCCGGACCTCATGCCGGAAAGAATCAGAATAAGCAGAGCAATCAGAGTAGATACTGTCAGAATGTTGGCGATAACTGAGTACGTCCTGCCAAAATAAACAGCCGGCGCCAATTAGCCAGCTGGGCGTCAAGCTCAAACGTGCAGAATTCAGATTCATCCCAGTGCCCACTGAGGCTTGTCGGCGCGATGCCCGGACGAAATAACGTCGGGAGTCCGGACTCAAGGCGACCGCGACGTGGCCCGGGGTCTTACATCGGGTGTCATTTCTCTCATCTGAGTCGTCTTTTAATGTAATACCGGGCAGCAGGCAAGTGCATGGGGACTCGGGAGCCGGGCCGGCCCGGTTCCGCCGAAGGGGGGCGGTTGTCGTATGCCGACATCTCAGCGATTTGGAATCAGGATTCAGGACTCTGGTCACCGTACCGTACGGACCACGCGCTCAGCGAAATAGTCGCCGACGCAGATCCATGACGACATTGAAATGTCGATACTGGTCAGTACTCGCATGCAACCTAAGGCCTAAGTAGTAAGTAGGTAGGTACTGGTATTACTGCACGTAGTCACCGCAATTGAGCAGACTATTGATTGTACCTACTTTCTGTACCAGATAAAGTACGGTACGTATTTCTGGATCTAGTGAACAGTAAGCAATTTGGGGTTACTAAAAAACCTAACCCAATAGATCACCCGCTCCGCACCCGTACCCACCCTAACCACCTAGCTAACCCTACCCGTCTCCGTTACTGTTCACTGGCTGTTGTTGTTCACTACATCGACCGGGTTATAAAGTACGGTCAGTACCTACTTGCGAATATACGGTACCGGTAATACAGGTACAGACTCCAGAGGTTTTGATATTGTCATCTTGAATGAGAAGGGTTGGTCATGATCTGCACGTGCCAGTCCAGTAGCAGACGGTACCCCTGGGGCCTGTAGTATGTACATCCAAGGTTCTGTGACGTATAGGTACGTACGTACTCGCCGAATCACAGTCCACAGAACGCGGAGGTTCTGTCTCGAAAACAGACGCTCGATTTAAATAGATCTCCATCTCGTGCAAGCCGGACACGACCTGGGTGTCCTTGCGATTCCTAGGTCGTGGCACCTGTATAGTACTGCGAAACATTCGACTTGACTAAAGTAAGAAAACTCTAATGATCGCACGGCGAGTCTTTCTCCAGCTATCGGAAGAAATGAGGGGATTGAGCACAGCTCTGTACACTCGACCGTCTCAGCTTTCCAGGCTCATCAATACTTGGCGACTTGAACTTAGAGCTACCTAAGATACCTTTCAAGCACTGAAGTAATGTGATGCGGGTTTGTTATGGAGCTTTCAGAAGCTTGCAGTCAGCTTGTGGCACCGCTTATTGCACGTAGCTCATTCTTTATTCGGACGATATACTAGCTCAATAGCTAGCTGCGGTAACTCACAACAAAGCAAAGCTGCCACCGCAAGCTGCAAGGCAATTACAAATGCTAACATGCAAGTAGGTTTGATGGCGTTGTGTGTATGCATGTAAAAGACTAGGGAAGCTAGGACTGCGGAAAGCCCCCAGTACTGCCCTACAAAACATCAAATTGCACTTCTCTACTTTTGCTTATTTTCAGCTCGTCCAGCTCTCCTTCAAGACAGGCCGCTCGTGATCAGGAGCCTCAAAACAACGCAGGCAACCACTCTGCATTTCACAACAAAGCATTCTCAGCTTCTCAGCCAGAGGTCTCGAAACTCGGAAAGTAGGAAAGAAGTCATACTGCGTTTGTGAAAGCGGCGCAACCCGCTGTCAGCCTAGGACTACTCCGCGAGTGGAACTCATTAATGCAGGCTCCATTGCTGAGCTGCCCATTGTAGCTAGTGTAAATTCTCCGCCAGCACTAATATACAGTCCAGCTCCAGAAAAGCCTAGCTGTTCAGCCCCTGACAGACCACATTCCGCATCGCCTTCAACTTTCTCTCCTTTTACTTGAACGTGTGATAGGCGCTTGAAGTACAGCCAAACGTTGCTATGGATTCCGCTCCGAGCAAGAAGACGCGGAAGCTAAGATTTGAGAATTTTCCGAGCTCCCAGTCTTGGTATCTCCTCACATTCATCCAGGTTCTGTTCATATTCCAGCTGTCCTGCGCAGACAAGGCCTCCGCAGCTCCCCTTCCGCATTTCCCCGTCGGGCGACGAGCGCTTATGGCGGAAAGCGAATCCTCTGCGGTGGCGAGGCGTCTCGCGGCAACAGCCCCGTTCCCACCCCCCGCGCGAGCTCCGCCCCCGCCAAGTCCCACCGTGACGTCACCCACTCCTACCGTGACATCAAGGTCCATGTCACCAAGCCCCCCGCCGGCAACGAGCCCACCAAAATTGCCGGTCCCGGCCATGGCACCAGCTCCGAGCTCCAGCCCAACTACACCCCCGTTGGCTAAGCCGGTGTCAAACCTACCCGCGCCGGCATTGGCACCAGCGCCGAGCTCCACCCCATCTCCGACTCCGACCGCCTCGTTAGTGTCATCCGCACAAGGGGTCCTCCCAAACTTATTCTCACTGTCAAGGAAAAAGGAGTCGGGGCCAGCCCCCGGGGACTTGGCGTGCGTGTCGCAGGGCGTGAAAAGTCTGTGTCCGTTTGTGGATCCGCTGCCGCGCCCCGCGACGGTTGCGGCGCAAGGGTCTATCAAAATTGGGATCTATGAGATTACGCAGGTAGGCATTGTGACCAAACATTTCAACAAAATTCGACTTTCTCAACTTTAGGAGGGTCCTGATATCACGCAAGCGGGTTGGGGAGAAGGGAATTCTTCTGGCTGACGGGTTGAAGAGTTGCAGTCCTGAGATGCGCAGGTAAGGTTGATGGTTAGATGCATCATCTAACTTTCATTGAAGGGCGTTCTACGTTGGGGATGTAAATGAATGTGCACGTAAGCTTGATGCTTAGATGCATCATTTAACTTTCATTGAAGGGCGTTCTACGTTGGGGATGTAGAAGGGAAAGGACCCGGCTTTCGTGATACACCTTTGCAGCGTTTCAGTATTGCTGTGTTCAAGGTTGGGACTCTGCGGTAAGGCAGCTGGGTTGGGCTCCTAAATTCTCAGTAAAGATTACAGAACGAAGCTTCTCAGCTTCACATATATGGTAGGAAACGCAGATGGGTCTGGTCGTTTGAGCGTTCAGGAAAGGTTTGAACATAATTGATTTGTACTTTGGCTGTTGCTGAGGCTCCATGGGTGTGGTTCATGTTCCAAGTTCCCTGTAATGACCCCAAAAGCAGCCTTCTCAAGTTTGATGGAAAATCGATAGCAGAGCACGGGATTGTCAAAATGCACAAGGCTCTCAAGTTGCTTCGTAATCAGTTGCTCCTCTGGTTTCCGTCCGCTATTTTCCAAACGTCCTGATCTCAATCCTCGTTGTTTTTCCTCTTTTCTGAGACTCAGATGCCTTGCTTTCTCTCTAGTCTCTACAAGATCCCACGCCGCATACGACCTTTGAGCTCATTTTCCAAGCCTCACGAACCTCATCTTTGCGACAACCTTTCTTTCCTTCTGACGTTCACTCGTTTCGCCAGCTTTTCCTGCAAATTCACTCCCCCTTCCCCCCAACAGATTCATAGCAACATGCCGAAGAACCCCCGGCCTGTTTCGACGTTCAGTCTTTTGACCACTTCCTCCACGAATCTGACCCAATAGCCTCCTTTCCCCGCCCCCCCTTGAGCAAATGCATCGCGACGTACATACGTACAGAGAACCCCATGTTCTGACTTTTCTTCCTTTCGACCACTCCCTCTACCAATTCAATCCAACAGTCCCCTCTCCTTTCCCCGCAGCAAATGCATCGCGACCTGCCAGAGCCCCCCCTGTTCTGACGTTCTTTCCTTTCTCCAGTACGTTTCTTCTACAAAACTGACCCAATACCCCCTTGTTCCCCCCCTCCAGCAAACACATCGCGACATGCCGGAGACCCCCCTATTTTGACGTTCTTACCTTTCGATCGCCCACTTCCTCTACAAAACTGACCCAATACCCCCCCTGCAGCAAATGCACCGCGACCTCCCAGAGACCCCCCTGTTCGCATACGGCCTTTCCCAGGCCGCCGCCACTGTGCCGGGCCCGACTCTTGAAGCCAAATGGGGCTCCCCGGTTCAGATCACGTGGGAGAACCAGATCGGGGCGGCCAAGCACCCCCTCCCCGTAGACGACACGATCATGCGCGCCAAACCCGTTTCGGGGGTACCGACCGTGGTGCATTTGCACGGGGGGGAAGTGTCGTCTTTGTACGACGGGCATCCTGATGCGTGGTTCACGAAAGGGGGGGAGAAGGGGGCGGCATATACCACCAACGTGTATACGTATGGGAACCGGCAGGATCCGGCGACGCTTTGGTGAGTGAGCTGTTTCATTTTGCCCTTGAATCAATACACCGTTTGACATAACCCAGTATTTTGCTGCAAGCTTCATCCGTTTTACGTTCGTCATGCACTTCTTTGGAAAGAGCTAGCTTCACTACCCGGTTCAAGAATATGCTCTCATTTGGCAGACTATGCCAGCACGACTTACACCAAGTTTAAAGTCGCAGGTTCGGAAGCATCCGAATGTCTATTCACAGGATCAAAAGTGTTCAGATGTCAACTTTTGGAGGTCATCTCGGAGCCTATATTCTCGACCGGCGTTCAGGGCGAAAGCAGCAAGTCCCTTTCTATGAAACTCAAGAAAGATATTCTTTGAAACAGAATTGATAGTAAGCTCCGCTTAACAATGATAACCGTAACCCCAGAAGGTACCTGCTCCGCGCCCCTACCCACCCTAATCACCACTCTAACCCAACCCGTTTCAGTGCGGTAAAATCTCTATAATCTCGGCTTACTGTCGTTTTTCTTGACCCACTTTCTCTTTCTTCCCCAGGTACCACGACCATACTTTGGGCTTCACCCGCCTCAACGTGCAAATGGGCTTGGCCGGATTCTATATCCTGCGTAACCCATCCGTTGATAACCAGTTCAAGCTGCCCCGCCGCGGGTTCGAGATTCCGCTCGTCATCAAGGACTTCTCGTTCCGTTCCGACGGAAGCGTGGACTACCCGGGCGGCGGAAGCGGAAGCCACCCCGTGTGGGAGCCGGAGTTTTTCGGGGACGCGATCACTGTCAACGGAATCGTGAGTGCCCAACTGAGCTTAAGAACTGTCTGTTCAGTGTTGGTCATTTGCTTGAAGGCAGATTCCTCGACGATACCGTTGTTTCGGCACTCAATCAAGAAACTGAAAACCAACACTGAGCTGCGGAGCTGGCAAGACATATGTTGCGACAATTTAGAAATAGTAAGCTTTGGGAATAGTAAGCTCAAATCAAACACTACAATAGGAACCTATGGAAACTACCTGCTCCGCACCCGCCCCGCACCCGTAACCACCCTCGACCCCCAAAATGCCCCCTCGTCCCAGGCTGACGAGCTTCCTATTCCTAAAGCTTACTGTTCCCAGAGTGTCATGGCTCGCAAGACATGCAGGGCTCTTAACGGAAAACGCAGCAAGCAAAGTTACACTAATCCCAGCCTCACGTTTCCTGCTCAGGCGTGGCCTTACCTGGAGGTGCTACCCCGCAAGTACCGCTTCCGCCTCCTCAACGCGTGCAACGCGCGCTTTCTTGACGTCGGCTTCAGCGCCCCTGACGTCACCTTCAAGCAGATCGGCACCGACGGGGGCTACCTCAGCGCGCCGGTGGTGCGCGCGCGCATCCTGATTGCGCCCGGGGAGCGCGCTGACGTCATCGTGGACTTCAGGGGCCAGGCGCCGGGCACAGAGATCGTGCTCACGAACCGCGCGGCCGCGCCGTTCCCCGACGGCGACGCGCCCGGGGATAACGGCCAGTTCGGTGGAACGGCAGAGGTGACGTCAACGAATTTGCTGTTTTGAAGTGTAGAGAGGGGGAATGTTCTGTTTCGTAGCACGACTCTTCAAGTTTATAAGGGGCCACATCTACCCTCGAATTGAGCGTTGAATTCAGAAATGAACCACGAATTTGCCCGAAGTCTGCATCCGAGGTGAAATTGAAGAGCAGTGTGCGGAATGCTTTTGGCACGGCTCATATGCTTCTTCGTTGCTGTGATTGCAAAACCTGCGAGGTTTCGTTCGCATGTTTCCCCCCCATGATTGATCTTGAGTGCAAAAGGTGTAAAGAAGCTAGGGAAACGAGAAGGACAGGGCTTCACGAAAAGCCGGGAAACTTAAGTACGTCAAAACCGCGACGAACTAGGAACTCGCACCTTGGATTAAATCCTGGACTGACCTTCGGACAAGCACGTGCGTGTGGAAGAATGGGTGAATTTCTGCTGATGTCATTGCCGGCGGCGGCCGTTTGGGCACTGCCAATTCGCGCCAACACATTCCGACCGGGCCTCGCGGGAAACACTCAGACCACTTTCTAATCCGATTCTTGTTCCGAGATACGGATCCGCTTAGCACAGTCCGTTCTCCGCTTTGCGCAGCTCATGAAGTTCATCGTGCGGAAGAAGGTCGCCAAGAGCGAGCGGCCGCGCAAAGGCCTTTTCGCGCTCACCAAATTCGAGCCCGCGGCCGACGCGGCCGCGCCGGAAGACGCCGCGTCGGACGACGCGCAAGTCCCAGGGTTTATGCAAACCCTCCCTAACCTCAGGGGTTTGGCCCCGGTTGTCGTCGAGCGCTGGCTGACGCTCAGTGAGAGCGAAGTGAACGGAGGCCCGGATGCGGTGCGGCTGGGGATTCTCGACGGAGAGAAAAACGTGAGCTCTTTTTCGTTCGCTGTAAAACCCTAAAAGTCCTGAAAACCTTAGAACCCTGATTATCTACTCGATTCCATCCAGTGTTGCTTGAGAACATTCTTCTCGATGAGTCATCACCTCTGCTTCTTGGAGGATCGTGTAAGCATTCTGCAGGATAGAAGACAAGACATTACAATGGTGATTACAATGGCTCTTGAAGTAGTACTAGCTACCTTGGATGGTAGCAACACACAGGTGTGTTGGGGCAAATCATTGAACAGAGACAGTGGGGTCGAAGTTGTCTCGAAAGCGACTTTAGGACGCCCAGGTTCTACGTCGTCCCTAGTGCAGCATGTTTTCCAGCTTACCAGCTTCATTTCTCCCCATGGCGGTTGATTTCTTCTAAGCAGAGTCCGTCCGAATTCGTCCAAACCCACCCACAGCCCAGTAAGAAGAGAACAGGGGGAAAGAATCAGCTTGGATATTGCAATCGATCGTACTACCTGAATTAGATTCGATGGAACTCAAGAAAAATGATAATTAGCCAGGATAAGAATAAACTCCGACTTGCACTAAAAGCCTGACCCAAAATGAACGTGCTCCGCACCCCACCCAAACCTCCAGAGAAACCCTATCCGTCCCTGTACGGTTCCCTTAAGTCATCTAGCTTGTTAATACTGCTGCTCTTGAGTTGGATCGAGGTTCGTCTTTCGAAATTGATACAATTAATCCCGTTTTAAGTTCTGGGCCGCAGGTTCCCATGGGGTGGATGGACCGCGTCACAGAGACCCCCCGGAACGGGGCCACCGAGCTGTGGCACGTCATCAATTTCAGCGGTGACGCACACCCCATCCACGTGCACCTGGTCAAGTTTCGCCTGGTCAGCCGGTACGCCTTTGACGACGAGCGGTACGGTACCGGGCAGTGCAAGTTCAACACCGCAGACGCGACGTCATCGTGCGTACAGGTAAGGCAGGGGGGGTATAAGGCCGCAAAGCGGAACGGAGGTTAATCCACCCCATCGCTATACTCTCCCCCGTAAGCATTACGGTTTGGCACAATCGACTGCCTCCACCATGCTCAGAGCAATCTTAGGTCTGACCCGTTCGATCTGCTGAGTGGCGCCCTCCGAAAGGCACGGTTTGTGCCTGGCTACCGAATAAAGGGTGGCGAAACGTTAAGGCGTTACGAAGCAGTTCAATACGTGATAAACAACGGACAAGCATTAAGCTTTGCCTGCCGCCTCCGTTTACCTCTGAGGCGTGTACGAGATCCGCTCTCGAATGCAGCACCTTCCGGGCTGCTTCTCAGAGCGTGGCGCCGCTCCCGCCCCGATCAACGACAACGAAGCCGGTTGGAAGGGGGTGGGAACGAGAGCGTGCGTAATTGTTTACATGCAAATCTGAGTCAAGTGAAGAATCACCGATTGCTCTAAACGCATCTACCGGGCACTTTTTGCAGACCGGTACGCCCCTTCCCATCGACGATAACGAGGCCGGTTGGAAGGACACCGTGCGCATGTACCCGGGGCACGTGACCACGATCGTGCTTCGCTTCACGAGTCAGAGCGGCGCGGGTTTCGGGTTTGACCCGACCAAGGGACCGGGTTACGTGTGGCACTGCCACATCCTGTGAGTTCCGTCCGCTGCGTCCCCTTTCCGGCGTTCCGCCTTGTTCGGGTCCGGCGGAATGACAGCTTCGTCGCCGTGAATCATCAGCTGCTGACTAAATGACTTTTCGCTTGGGCGACGGAGGGCTTCGGAAAGCAGTTAACCGGTTGGCTTTTGGGGCGTGACTTGTGTATCGCTTCTCTAATATAAGCTGACTTCGTAGGCTGTTTCCTGACATCTTCGAATTCGTCGGATCGGCCGTGATTTCGTTTGGTTCCCGAACTGAAGATTCGACCGTTGGATCGGCCACTGAAAGCTTTCTATTCCGAAAGACCGCCGTGGATCATGCTTGATGAATCCTGTTGATCCGCTTTTCGCTTCCTTCACAACGGCATCGTTCGTTTGATTGAACAGCCGAATCCCCTCCTGGCCGAGGTTTCCACTCTCTATCTGTCTATTTTCACTTGAAACAGATCCCGAGTTACGAATTCCTCCGTTGCAAAATGATGCGAGTTTTGCCTCCGGACGCTCGTTCCCCGCTCGTCGTGGCACATGGCCAATTTGTTGAGAGGGGATCCAAGAACTGTCCCAAGACGTGTTTTCCGTGCCACGTTTTCCCCGTGAGGAAACACCAAAGTTCCGTCCAACCTCTCAAGGCTAAGACCGAGCCACAATCCATCGAGGCGCTTCTCTGAAAGTTTTGTGGCTCGCCAAGCGGATCCTAGATGCAGATTTCTTTCAAGATCCTTCAAGCGCTGAAGTCATTTTCAACGTGCTCGATCTCTCTTCCGCGCGTGCAGCGATCACGAAGACAATGAGATGATGCGCCCGTACAAAGTACAGAACTGAAGCGACCAAATGGCGGCAGTCAGCCAGGGCTGGGTCGCCCATTCCAAGGTTCAGTAGGAGGGCGTGATAACGAGGAGCACATGGGTCTTGACAACTAGCTAACGCACGATAGTCGAATTGATTTGTCTCACAGACCGATCGAATGATTCCGCAAACCTTCAGTTGTGAAACACGAGCAAGAGGTTTCCGTCGGGTTAGTGATCATCTGGTGTGTTAAGTATATGCTCACTCGGATGACTAAGTACTTGATTAATGCTCAACGTTGAGCATTATTGATGTCAGGTAAGTACAAAACTTAAATTCAAATCGCAGGTAACTGATCGACTTACCGGACAAAACTTCCAACATTTAAGGACGCATAGTCCCTGCGCGTTACTTTTGAACGTTGGTTCGAGGTACAAACGATAGTACCAAAAAAGAACGTACTAACCGTCTATAATGAATGATATTTTTAATTTGACCATGCCACCGTCAACATTGAATGATGTACGTACCTTGATTGGGATGCAGCCAGCCTGTAGGTCACCCGGTATACGTCACATGCGTAATCTGACGTATTGAGCGGATCATCGATATAAAGATAGGTTGGCCCGACAAAGCCGGTTATAAACTTTATGCTTCAGTGACCATTGAATGCTGGCGCCTTCGTGACGGTCATGGCTATAGCCATATGGCACTGCAAACGGACACAGATCAAACGCCACATACAGAGTTTCACATGATTCAATGTTGAACCGCCGGCCGCGGCCATCCGCCCAATCTGGCACTGGCATGGTACGGTTTGTGATTGAGCTTGTATATTACATACCATGCAAAAGTTGAAACTTGCATGAAACTTCGGCCCCGCGCCAGCCGATAGGTACAAATAAGTTCTGTGTTTAGTATCTCATGATATACGTCTCTCGGGCTCGATCACTTGAATTGTGCATGCATATAGTATGGATAACTTCAAAATAAAGCAATTTGAAACGGGAGATTGTTTGCCAGCTTAGTCATTGGGCACGCAATGGGTCGGACAAGACTGAGATGCATGCAGGCCCGAACCGGTATTGACCGGCGGACTTAGATCGAAATCCAGGCTATAAGTTCCGCACCATGCAAACCTACTACTAAGCTACAAGGAATGATGACCATGGCATGGGCTCAATGATATGATAAGTATCATGCAAAATTCTGCCAGCTGGCCAGCCGGTGTACGTCGGTATTATAACCAGGCTCTTGAATCAATGCAGCACTCAGTAAGGTTGATTGATACCGGCCCTGCCCTTGGTTACAATAGATCCAAATGTCGGATGATCTAGGCTAGCTTAAGTAAGACATCGAGGTCATTCCGATGGGCCGCGACCGGACTGGACCACAGATTCAGTGATTGGGCCGGTCTAACAAGGCAGCAGCTTTATTGGGCCGCGAGCATGACTGCTTTTCGAAATCACCACGCCCGGCCCATACTGCCAGACTTCGAATTTGAGATACCGTACTGGCGAACCAGCGTGACTCGCTCAGACGGGAAACGGGGCTTGAACGTACATCAAGTCCAGTCGCACTGATTCAAGAACATGATTCAAGAACATGCAGGAACTATTGAAACATTATGTAGCCTAGAGCCCCAACACTTGCGATCAACCCTTGTCGGCTGGTTCAAGGAAGCAGGCCGATGTCCTGTTCAGCAGTAACCGAAGTTCTTTACGAGCTTCATAATGAACCTACCGCAGCAGTGATGATACTAGATGCTAACACGAAACACAGTTCGGCAACCTCTAGACTACTTGACGTTACCAGTACCAACCATAAACATTACCGTGCCGCTTTGGCGCTCGCAACCTTTTGCACCTTCGCACTCGAACCACCGCTCGGCCCAAACTTTGACTTCGTCACCTCCCGCCGCCGTTTCCGCGCCTCGGCCGCCGTTACCGCGTCTACAACTGGGAGTGGCCCGATGTGGAGCGACACAGATCCACGCCGTCCGCTCCCCCGGTATACATTATACATGCCCGTTTCAGGCTTCACCGTTCGGGGGGGTGCGCTCGGCTGTAAACTCAGCGACATGTCGACCCCCTGGTTTGGGAACACGCCGCTCGGGTTACCCTCCGGAATCCACGACATCGCGCCCCTACTCGCGCTATCGCCCCATAGGGGGTTTGGCACGCCATGCGACCCGAGCAGGTTCTGTGAACCTCCACTTTGTAAGGGCACAAACGTCTGTCCGGGGATCCCCCCAAAGCGAGATTTCCCCGAAACCGATTCAAAAGCGGGGTTGGGATGGTGCAGCCCCTCTTGTTGCCACGTAGAGCCAAGCGACAAGTCAGCTCCGATGGGGGGTTGCCTGCTGGTTAACCGCGGGTTGAAAGGGTCCTGGTTAAGCCCGTCTTTTGCAAACGGGCTCCCTTTGAGAAGAGCCTCCGAGCTTGAGTGTTGGATCAACCCGGACCCTGGGTTAGCGGTCACGTTTTGAGAGTTAGCGGTCTGGTTTTGGACCGGGTTAGCTTGCTTCGGGGGAGGGAGGGCAGTCAAGTTGAAAAACTCGAGACCGGACGGTTGGGGGGGCAACACAACCTGCATCGGTGCGGAAAGATTTCGTTGCAGGCTCTGCGGGCGTAGCGATAACCAGGGGTTTAGCGGAAGCGATCGCGCGGTCGTCAACGCAGGCGGGCCGGCCCCATTCACACCACCCCGAGGCACACCGTCCCCATTCACACCGTCCCGCCCCGACATGTCCCTTTTCACCCCCCCGTCGTCTGCGCCTTTGTTGGACCCCCCCTTTCCAATCTCGCTCGCCTTCACCCCCCCCTCTGAACTCAAGAAGTCCTTCTTCCCCTCATCCTGCTTTATCTGCTGCCTTTTCTCGCGCGCCGCAACTGGGGGTTCAGAGCACAGCTCTGTGGCGATCGTATGCAGCAGACTAAGGGATAACGGCAGTGGCGGACTGGCAGATGTCTTTCCCCCGCCATTTCCCCCTCCAGGTAACGCTTCCAGATCCGGGCCGCTTCCCTTTCCCCCAGTCGAGAGCACCGAACTCAGCCCCCGGGCATTCGGAGACAAACCCCCCCTCGGAATCTGCTCAGTCGGGGCCCCCCCAAGCGACATGCTGACGTCAGGCAGGTTCCCAGAGGGTGTTCCGTTGCTCAGGACCGGTGTTGATGCGACGGGCTCCGCTTCTGCCCCCCCCTTGTCTGCCCCCCTGTTCAACGGACCCCCCGTTTGGGAAGTGGTCTTTTCCAGCAGCCCAGTCTTTGTAGGCCGTTCTGCATTCTCCGTTTTGGGGGGGTACGAAAGACTGGAGGGTCGAGCAGGAGAGGGACCCCCGGCCAACGCCCGCAGGAACGCGCTTTCGCTTAGCGCCTTTCCGGGGGGTTGCTCCGGCTTGGCCGTGACCGACTCGTTCGACCCCCGTTTTGAGAGAGGCTCTGGAGGAGGGCTCTTCTCGGTTCCAAAGACTGTTTCCGTTTTAGACGCCGCCAGAGGGTTTGCCGAATCTGGTTCCATGCTGCTCCCCTCCCCAGACCTTGCAGCGGAAGGGTTACTGCTAATCCCGTCCCCTGACCCTTTTCCCTCTCCGTCTGTAGACCTAACCTGAGCGGTTTGCAACTCGTCACTTTTCCGGTCACCCAACTTCTCCTCTTCGGAACCACCGGCCATTAGCCCCAGGTTGGCAGAACCTTCCCCGCGAATATCCAAACCCTCCTTTGACCCACTCTTAGCAGTTTCACCCAACGCCAATCCTGCCGCGTCTTGCTCCGGAACCGAGTCCAGGTCAGGGGAGAGGTTTTCCAAACCCGGGGCAGGTTCGGGTAACTCATCGTCGGGTTTGGGTAAGCCGTCGTTGGACTTGCGGTCGTCGCTAAGATCCGGAAGAAGAGGGGCGGACGTCGATGGATGCACGTCCAAAGGCTCTTCTGCCTCTGTTTGAGCGGCCATCAACTGCAATCCAAAAGAGATTTAGATTCTGCAAGCTCCTCTACCGGTTTTCGAATCCATCTTTGTTAAAAGCCAGAAGAGAGGGCACTCGATTGGATGCAAATCGCTGCATCATTTAAAGGCCCGGTGTTTCGAGCAATGTACGAGACAACAAATTGCGAGCTTTGTACAGAAGCCGGAGCAAAGGTTTCAAGAGTCCAAAGCATCCATGCAGAATCGACGCGTCTGCAGCTTTTTACACGATATGCAAATCTCCCCTTCCATCGACGAACAACAGGCGTCTCTCTTGAGCACTGACTCCAGCGATAGTGGTGATCTTGAAACAGGGCAAAGTTCCTTCGAAGGGCGCCTCACATCTTTTGAAAACTCGAAATCGGAGTGAGACGGGACTTCGTGGCGTGAGTTAGCTGCAAGCTTACGAAAACAACGTGTCTGCCGAACTGGCTCTGAAACGAGCAGAGCTCTCATATGGAGAGGCCAGAGAACCTAACAGGCTAAATAAGCAATAATGCTTCTCTCAAAAGGATCTGACGAGCATCCCGAGTCCAGACAAATTCGCACCCAAAACCTTCGACAAAAATGCTGACATAAGGACCCACCGACGTTTAAGATGTCAGTGCAAGAGTATCGGAAGTCGACAGTAGCAGCTTGGAAAGCGCACAAGTCAAAGCAAAAGCCCGCCACCGCCAAACAAGATTCCGTGGCTCCACGAATGCCAAACTGCGGTATGAGGTTGAACAGCAAACAGCGAACAGCGAATCTTACCTGCTCCTTGAGCTTTGCTTGCTCCGTGATCAGTCGATGAAGCTCCCTTTGAGCCGCCTCGACTTTCTGCATTGCACGCAAGAATCAGAGTTTTGCACCTCGTTTGCTTTTGAGGTGACACCTGGCGTTTTCAAGTCCGTCAGTCGAGGCTAGCCAGCTTTAAATTCCCATCACTAGCCGCAGTGCAATCGATCTGACAGAAAGCAGAGAACCACTTGACTCTGAACCTGACGGTTCTGGGTGTTGCGAAGTCAGTGACTTTCGTCCAGTTGTTGACACAGCATCCAGATTGTGGAGCACGAGTCAGCAAACCCGTAACGTGTAAACAACCAAAGTATTCTTCTAGTTTTCGTGCTGTAACGAACGGGGCATCGACTTACGCTTCGGAGGTCCAGGTTCTCGTCCCCTAGCTCCTGCGCTTCCGTAGCCAGCTTCTTACACACCGCCTGGAAACAGAAACGCATTTAGAAACTGCATCCGAATCCCGGCTCAGCGTCATCTGAGATAAAACTTCTGTTCGACCACGAAGGAAGGCTCTCTGACAAGTTCTCTACAGCTTTCTCCGAATTCCATCATCGCTTAAACAGAGCCTGCAAGGATATGGAATGAGTAAAGGAGCCTGCCACAGCGACGCTCTGAAACCGCTGACATCCTCTTCAGACTTTGATTGCGTGCTCCATGATTCAATAAAACGACTTAACACAAAAGCTTGAAGACGTAAAACTGCAAGGTACGGTAAAAGAGACTTTGCAAACAAGTGAAGAGTCTTCTAGCAAGTAGATAAGCCCATGACAAAAACTACATGGACATCTTTCAGACAGGCCCCGGGGTTGATGTTTCACGATGGTCAAGAGACCCTACACAAGCAGATGGACAGCAAGTACTAATGCTCGAAACAAAAACAAGAACCGACACTGAGCTGCGGCGTGGTGCGAGAGTACCTCATCCAGCAAAGCCACAGAAGTACTGTATGCAACTGAATAACCACTTCCAACAAAAACCACCATCGAGATAGATCCCATTCTCCCCTCACTACAATTTCTCCATCAAGTTTTTTACCAAAACCTTGGATGGTTTAGCTTGTAGCACTAAAACAGACCCACTTGTAGAGTAGTAGCCCTTCTCTTCTCCAACTCCGACATTCATTCTGTGGCCATGATGACGGTTGTGTCTCTCACCTGTTTCCTCATGATGGTCTTGCGCGCCGACTCCCGGTTTGCTTGGATCCTCCGCAGCCTCTGCGCCTCTTTCGCGGGGTCCGGGTCCTCAAGACCAACAGGCTGAAAAAACTAAACGGCATAACATCAGCATCAAAGTTGTGCGGGCGGCAGAATTACGAGACTCAACCAACGTAGCACAAAGCAGACTGCTCAGTAAGCGCAGCAAGCTTTGGGGGCTACACTGGTGTTATGCCTTACCAGCAAGAGATTTCTGGTTTACAAAGCAGGCAGATTGTTGAGAACCCTGATCAGCCCAAAGCACGTCAAAACACTTGCGGTTGTAACAGCTGCACTGATGTTTCTCCAACACTGAACACCTAATGCAGCATATGAAATCAAGCAGTGGGGAAATCAACGCGACAAATCGTCCCTCAACAACAAGTCCCGTCAGCACCGGACTTCGACCAGACTTCGACCGAGTGCCTGTACACCTTTTAGCGTCCACTTCCATTTTCCCAAGCAACAAGGGTATTGAGGAACAAAACTACTAAGAGGGCGTCCAATGGCTTCTTTATCAGTATCTACGAGAGGATCAAAGAAAGGTGCTGCTCGCAGACCTCCAGATTCATCGGACTCGTTCTGCTCTCTTGCCCTCGAGAGAGTGCAGCTTTGGAAACACAACTGGCAGAAACAAATCCCAATCCAGAATTCCTCAAACTAGTGCTGAAATACACCGACAATGTTTAACCAAGCTGCACGGAGTGCCCCACAATCATGGACGTCAGACTTTCCTCTCAAGTAAGCACCCAATCCTCAGCACCGCTCGGCATGCATGCGCAGGTAGAGATTTCGTGGAGCGCTGCATACCAAGTTGGTGAAACTCAGGACAATGTTCCAGAACAAAGACCAGCTGTTATGGAGGTCCTTCAAACAACAGATTGGCCCACAATCATTTTAGGGTTTCCGGAGCATTTTAGGGTTTGGGACGAGGCCACTCACAACTGCCTTCCTACGCCTAGCCCGCGCTAACCGCTTTCTGCTTCCGCCCGCGAACCCTAACCCCGGCTCGTCCTCCCTTTCCCCCCCCTCGAGCAGCTCCTCTTTCAGCCCCCCTAGCTCCGAATCTCTCTGCTCCACCCCGTCCCGTTCCGAAAATTGATTGGCTGGGGAAAGAAAATCCACCAGCTTCGGAGACGGCAGCTCCAGTCCGCTCTTAGCGGGAGCGCGCTCCTCGAACTGGAACTCTGTGATGCTTTGGGCGCGGGCAATTGGGTTTGATACCGGGTTAGAAAGCGGGTTAGCAAGCGTCGGGAATGCCGGCCACGGCTGGCTGGCGGACGGGGGCAGAGACGCTGCAATTGCAGCTAAGAAAGCGGACGGCGCCGAGAGTTGTGATTGCAGCTCGCCGCCGACGGAGCGCTGCGACTGGAGCCCGAGCGACGGCTGGCTTTGCAGGCCCCCCCCCAGAGAGTCCCTCGGCAGGCACCCCCCAAACGACGACTGCGAGGCCATTGAGAGCTGCGGTAAAAGAGTGTTTACACTGAGCTGGGGAGGAAAAGACGGAGCGCGGATCAAGGGGGGTCGCTCATCCTTCAGCAGCGCTGCGATCCCCTCGAGGCCCTGCTCAAACGCCTGGTCCACTTTTGCCTGTGCAACACCTGGGATGAGGCTCGAAACCCTAGCATCCGCAGGGCCCTTCGGTGCCTCCCCCTCCCCCCCCGCCCTCGACACGTCGCTACCCCCCGCGTCAGCTTCTGACAGGCCGCTCTGTGAGAGTTCAGCAGAGGAACCCCCCCTGTTTCCTGCACCCCCTCGTCGCTGCCGATCCTCCCACTCCTGCATCTTTGCAAGCTTGCTTGAGAGCTCGGTCATCGGACTCCCCTTCTCGTTCACCACAATTACCGAACCAGAGCGGCGCCTCCTAAGCGTCCACGAGATGCCGTCCAACCTCTGCTCTGCATCACTCCCCCGCCTTCCCAAAGAGTCCTCGCGCCATAGGGAACCCCGTTCCGGAACACCCCCTCCGACAAGTGCGGCGAGGGCCATCGCAGCATCGAGCTCCTCGTCATTGCTGGGGAGCTGCGTCCCAGGCATCTCGCCCAACCAACTCCTTAACCCACTGCTTAACCTACTTCCTACTCCTCCAACAGCTTATGCTGCTCTTTCCGCTGTTTGCTGATCAGCAGCATTTGCAACTGTCCTTATCGACGCTGTCTACAGGGCCAACTGAATGTCAATGTCAGATTCAAGTGCGGAACAAAGTCCAAGTCTGCTCCCGAGGGGGTCTTGATGCAGACGGCAATCAACATCGTCTGCTGCGTCAATGCTGCCCCATTTCAGCACTTCCTCCTCCCCTGACAGAAGGAGAAGAGGCCTGCAGACATCGCCATCAATTCTGCCACGCTCACAAGCCCGGGCGCTCCCCTAGAAGAAACTGTTTCAACTCTTTGGAGTCTTTGGATGGCCGGCGGCTCTGGCAGCCATATTGCGGCCTATAGCTCAAACTAGAACGAGACCATCGTGTTAGTTGTCACTTCCAGCCTAGGCCCAGGGCGAGTCTTTGTGTGAACAGAACCGGTACCGGGCTGAGTCCAGGCAACGCGCTTAGGTAGGTACCGTCGGGACTGTGTACAAGTTGGGTTACCTGCTTCAAAACTTCGTTACAACTTACAACCGGGAACCTCGAAACGGCTGCACGTGAGCGTTGGAGCCTGCCAGTAGGTTAAAAATCCTGTACAGTTTCGCCAAACCTGTCGGTAGGTACCGTGCATTGGAGATTAGGTAAACAATTCAACTACATACCTAGCCTAACTTAACATAAACAAGCGGTACATGTTTAATACCTACCTTAAACCTGTACCGGTACATGCCATGGTCTGGCCGCCCGGCCGCCGTCTGTCCAGGGTACCGTAAACGACAAAAGGTACAGTACCAGTACCATACCGTTTGCGGAACGACCGCGATCGAACGGTTCAAAAGTCAACGAGTGAAAAGATCCCATCTGGCACATTCTGGCGGGCTTCGCCACCTCAGCAAACCAGGTGGGCGGCACGCAACCGTCTTGCGATTTGAAGAGTCGTCTCTCCAAAGTCAACCAGGCAACCTGCATGAAACACATGAAAGTTTGTGCTTGCGCCATGGCGGTAGATTCGTGAATGCAGAAGGACGTCGTGAGCAGCAGGTGCAAGGAACGGAAAGGGCCAGGGAGGGGAGCGCTCTGTGGTTCAAAGTGTAGAACTTGGAGTCACGGGGCAGGCTCTCCAGGAACTTGTATATCTTTAAATTGAGGACCAGCGTGCTTTGCATGGTGATTGAAAGCTTTGCGAAGACGAGGTAGCATAGGAATCAACCCTGGCCGGGGGTGCGGGCGCGTTTTGGAATGTACAGCGCCAGTATGACCATGTACAGCAGCTCGCCCCCTAGCAGCACGTTTGTGTCCACGACTGTCACTGGCTTCCAGCCAGCGAGTGTGGGTCATAGCAGGGCAGGAAGCAGTGGGGGTCAGTCTAGGTCCGCTGTGGAGTTGGACTTCAGCAGTCGCACTTCTTCTAGCAAGGGCCATGTCAAGGGTGGTCTCACGACTTTGTTCGCGGGGCAAAAGTCAACAAAGGTTGTGAACTTGAGTTCATCTGTGGACTCTGTGGAGTCATCTGTACATATCAAGAGGCTCAGTGGGAGTGATTTTGGCAGCCTGGGGCGTGACAGTCCTCTTGGACGGAGTCTTCCTGTGAGCGTCCCGCAGAATTCACGAGGGAAGAGCCCTGTCTCAGTGCTTTTTGGGGGTTCGCCTGTTGCGTCTCTCTTGTCGCATGATGGGAGTCAAGGCCTCCCGCCTCTAGACCGCAGCCATCAGGCAGATAGGCAGCAGCGGAAAAGCTCAGGCACGCTATCTGAGGTTAGAAGGAGGTCGCTAAGGGGTCACGAAGATGACGGGACCGTCATTCTGTCCCGGCGGGTGTTGGAAGATGACCCTGAATCGCCCCCAGAGTTCAGTTTACGAGCAGGGCTTCTGGATATCACTTTGGATCTAGACCATGTAGACGAAGAGTCGCTCGCTTCGCCTTCCGCGCAGTCCCTCCCAGCGTTCCTATCCCCAGCAACTCTTCAGCGCAACACGTCAATGGGCCGCTCCTTTGGTCTGGACAGCCCTGATGTAAGGCCTCAGCAGTCCGGTGCTTTCAGCCCTTATCCAGCCAGGAGGGAGCTGGAGCCTCGGTCACCGAGACCGTTAAGAAAGCTGACGGCAGAGGAGCATCTTCTGAAGGCTCAGGAGCTGCATGGTCTCTTCAGCGATCCGCTGGTCGTGCTCGCTTTTAGGATAGCAGCAGATGCACATGAGGGCCGGGTAAGTTGAATGACTATGAAGCCTTTCCGCTTTCATGCATGTATGTATGCTTCTCTGCCAGTTTAGCTGCCTGTGCAAGCAGTCATAGAAGAGAAGGCTGCCTTGAATGAGCAGGTTGGCATGTGGTCAGTGCTATGCTTTTTGCTTCATGTTTGCAAAGATGTACCGGCTTTCAAGAAAACAAGCTGGCAGAATTTGCGGACGGGCTGGCTTAGCTCAACTATTGCATTCTGCACCTTCAACTTAGGCATCGACAGTTGAGAGTTCATTCGTATTAAAAATGGAGGAGGTCGTTGCTGGAAGCCTGTGTTGCAAGGCAGTGAGACGTGACATTAGTCCGCCAGCAAACAAGTTCTCAAGCATACATGAAATAGTAGTTGGAAGGAACAGTGGTTTTGATGCAACTTGCCTTAGAAACATGGTCTAGAATGCCTTTGGTGGAAGTTCTTTCAATGGATACATGTGGACGAAAGACTAGGGTTCTGTACTGGAAAGCTGCATACCGCAGAAGGTTGCGTCTTCTGATGCTTGCTCCTAAGGTGCACGCCTGAAAGTCACTGTTGACTACTTGGATCTGCTTTGAGTTATCTCTTAACACTCGCGGCTGCTGTACTTGGTGAATGGTTGGCAGTGTCCTAGGTAATTGGGTTCGATCTGGTCAGACAAGGCCGAAAATACATGTAGGCAAACACCAGTAATCACATCTGTCTTACTTTTCAGGTACGTCGGAACGGGGAGCTGAACATTGTACATTGCTTAGAAGCGGCCAAGATCCTAGCAGAAAGCACGCGGGACAGGGTTATGGTTGCAGCAGGGCTCCTACATGACGTTCTAGACGATACGCTGATGTCAGAGGCCGATCTGTTCAGGCAGATTGGCCCGGAAGTCACAGCTCTAGTTGCTGGCGTCACCAAGATGGGGAACATCTCGCAGATTGTGCGGGACACGGCGGAGTCCAGCGGGTTGATGAACGTGGACAACTTGCGGACTCTCATTTTGGCCATGTCGGATCCGAGAGCAGTGATTGTGAAGCTAGCAGACAGACTGCATAACCTACGCACGCTAGATGCGCTCCCGCGCCATAAGCAGCTGGGGATTGCTCGGGAGACGCTGGATGTGTTTGCGAACCTGGCGCGGCGACTAGGCGTTTGGAACATCAAGACCGAGATGGAGGACATCTGCTTCAAGTACCTGATGCCTGTGGAGTATGGCAACCTGAAGGCTAGGCTGGCAGAGGGCTACGATCTGCACGAGTCAGTCGAGGCGGCTGTGCGAGAGGTCGATGCGGCGCTCAGGGCAAAGGGGATCGGGTACCTGGACCTCTCAGGAAGGCCAAAGAACCTGTACAGCATCCATTCAAAGATGAAGCAGTAAGCACAATCCTACATGGTCGCAGATTGTTTTCTTCATCTGATCAGCTTTCCTGCTTTCACGCTTGCCCTTTACCTTTTGCAACAGGCTGCTCGGTCTACTCCGCAGAGCAGGTATGCCAGAGAGTATTGAAACCATACTTGCACTGGCTTCTGAAGAGAAAAAACGCTCGGGCACAGGAGGTCTGCACCTGCCGGGGGTCACGCTTTGGTTGCAGCTTGTGAAGTGGCTTTTCCTCAGACCATTTTCTGTCCAAGCAAGATATCCGCTGATTGAGAGCTGACAGGTTTTCTATACGTGTGCTGATTGAAGGATTTGGTTGATCACTAATTGCCGAACTTGTGACAAAGGTAATCTGTGCATGACGCTTGCCCTGTCAAGTTTCCTAAGCATCTTTGTTTTCCAGAGGATAAGTGTGGCAGCTATTATTGCAACTCTCTCGTGTTGGTAAAATCGGTGACCTGCTTTTGTCATGCTAGCCTGAAGGCAGGGATTAGTTTTGCATCTTGTTGAAGCCGGGTCCTGTTTTAGGGTTTGTCCCTGGAACCTTATCTCCTATCCCTCTTCTCAAGTATTGTCCACACCAATAGCAGGTCCTTTCATTGCTTCCGACTCGGACCAAATTTTGACGGATGCGGAGCTCCGTCGCCCCATCCTTTTCTTGCAAATGCAGCTTTCCCCCCCTTTTTGCCCTCTTTCACTCAAGCTTGCTGGCCCCCTCCTGGGGTGACCCGATCCATTTCCACCCATATTCATCTATCTTCTGCCTCCAATGTGTCAAAGCTCGCCTCTTAATCCTCTTAATGTCCATTTCACCTTTCCCCTGCGTTCAAGAACCTTGGATATTCCCCCAAGAAACCCACATACCTTCCCAATAAATTCCTCCATGAAGCTTATATATCCGCCCGCCCCCTTTTGCAGAAAGGGCCGCAACAGCCTGGAGGACATTTACGACGTGCGTGGAATCCGCATCATCGTCAACTCGGTCGCCGACTGCTACGCTGCGCTCGAGGTCGTGCAGACGCTCTGGCACCAGATCCCCTCCAAATTCAAGGACTACATCAAGTCGCCCAAGAACAACGGCTACCAATCGCTGCACACGGTGTTGCGAGACAGGGACGGGTACCCGATTGAGGTGCAGCTGCGCACGGAGAGCATGCATGTCGCGGCGGAGTATGGCGTGGCGGCGCATTGGCGCTACAAGGAGTGCGTGGTGGGGGGTGAGGCGTCAACTCACTGGCTTCCTTTGAGGCTTCAAGAACAAACAAGTGCACCATGAGTGTAGCCGATGAGCTGTTGAATGTTGCATCTGCAGATAAAAGGAGCTGTCTTTGCTTTTTCCAAGGACTTGGGACTCGCATAGCTTCTACAAAAAGCACCCGTACTCGGGTGAGCAGGTAATGATGCACGATTTCAAACTCTGGTCGTCAACCCTCCACTCAACTGCTCATTGCTGAGCTTCTCTTTTTTTCAACTCTGCTTTTCTGAGAGTCCACTAATCTCTTTCCCAACCCTGGCAGGTAACAAGGCGAGCTACTCCAGTCAAGTGGTCGCCTGGGCGCGCTACATCATCTCGTTCCTAGTAGAGGCGTCCGACAACAAGGTCCGAGTGGCTGGCCACGACAGCCGCCCTCCCCCCTGCCCCTTCCCCGAGCACGAGGCGAGCTGTGCGAATGCCCCCCTCGCGGCGGGGCTGTGCCTGGACGGTATTGATGGGGCGCCTGTGCTCGTGATTGAGCGGGAAAATGATGTGGTACGTGGCTAATAGTTGTTGCTTGTGGATTACTAGTCGCTCTGGTTGCACTAAATCTGAAGACAGGTGCAATCCTGAGCTGCAGTCTCTTCCAGTCTGCTTGGAAAAGGGGTTGTGTGTTTCGAATGCTTGTGTTTGTTTTAGGAAACTGTCTTCTCCTTTAGTGATCGGAGAACGCCATTTTGAACAGACGTCTTGTTTCTCTGCAATGCTTCAGCACTTTCCTTTGTTGGAAGGATTGCCCAGGTTCATTGGTTCGTTTTTATTGATGTAAAGATCATAGCTTCTCAGTGATTTCCAGTCTTTCCTTGCGCCATTTCATTGGTTTGTCTGCTACAGAGCAATTATGGCTGTTCCACCAGAGCTTGACAACAATTCTCACCCGGATTGAATCTCTCACTTACTCACCCAATCTGCTCCTCTGCAGCTGACCGTCCGGGAGCTGCCAGCTGGCACCACCGCAGGCGACCTCATCAACGATCGCATCAAGCGCGGGCTCCCTGCCAACGCCTCCGCTGCACTCCCCGTCATCAACGACCACGAGGCCGAGTCCGCAGCGCAGCGTCTGCACACTGGTGATGTGGTCGAGATTGTGCTCACGTGCCCCCCACCCCTAGTTGCTCCCGAGCTCGTGGGCGAGGAAGGGCTGCTGCCGCTGCATGTTCCGGATGCGTCCCAGATTCAGCAACTGGACGATGCGGTGTCGGTGGAGCTGAATGAGAAGCTGCGGTCGATGCGCTCGGGGGAGGCGTTGTCGGACGGGTGGGTTGAGGTGGGAGTGGAGCAGAGCGCGAGCCGCATGCAGGTTGCGCGGGGCTAGAGGAGAGCCTTGAAAAGTAGGGAGATGAAGTAGATATGTAGAGCTAGAAGGTGGCATAGTTATCAAAGCGCACTCATCGAGCCGGTCTTCGAAAGGGTGCTTGCATACCAAGGTTACTTTGCATATTGGCGACTCGTTGGCAACTTAGATTGGTCAAAATCGCGGTATAGTGCGTGTTACATCAAGATCGTTAGGGACCTGGTGATTGTAGAGTGTTCGACAAGCGGGTGGTTGTTTGAAGAGTATTTGTACATATTGTAGAACCATGTAAACTGTACATAAACCAATGTAGTTCAATCAGCCAGGTTAATTTGTCTCATAGCTTGGTTACAAAGCCTGCAAGAACATAATAACACGGATGATTCATTGTGGCCACTTGTCTCCGACATTGTGTTTGTGCATCAAATTACCAGGTTATTCCTAATGTGACCCGATCGACGGAGCTTATTTTGGATGCCCTAGTGCATTTACTACCTAGGTCCAGAAGTCTACCCAATCACGTACTTTCCTCAGGCTAGCGGCTCAATTGGTGGCGCCCAGTTGATTAAAAGTCACATGCATGGTCCGAAGTTCAAGTCAAGCCTCTGACTTGCTCATTCAACAACGCATGACAGCTGTTGGCCGGGCGGTGCCATACAAGACTGCATCATCAGTGACCCGGCCCAGCACACTGAGTGTGTGATGACTAGCCTGGCCAGGGGCCGCGGCACGGCCGGCCATCCACATGAGCTGCGCCACGCTTATATGTTAATGATTCGAGTGGGCAGCATCGTCGATCGATCAACTTACTATAAAAAAACCGTCCTGCAGGCTAGTGAATATATAGACGATTCGAAATTTTGCATCCAAACTGAGCGCTGCATGCCATGAATGCATATGGACTTGGTCGACTCAGTATGTGAGCACGAGTGATTTGTGGGCCCACAAGATCGTCGAGCTAATGCTGAAAGGAGATTGAATCATCCATGATCAACCGTTTGCGCATGCAGACTCATCCGCGACTGCCAACTTTGATATGTATGTCCAACTTGATTATGATAGTGAAAGTGACAGTATAGCGGAGGCCGGGCAGCCTTATAGAAGCGACCTAAGTTTGCTGCCAGCCGCCACAAAGTGTGAAAATCACGGCATGCAGTGCGCATGCATGATCGACCGTCTATAAGTAATCAAAATTAAGCAACTATATATGATATGCATCCGGCCGACGGTTCGCATCACTACTAACTTTGTAATAGTGGGCAACTTATAGTGGCGCATGGCGTCCCTGATACATCCCTTGGCGGATCCTTTGGTGCG